AGTTCTGGGGGTTTGGAGCATCGCGTCCCCTCCCCAGGAGCAGCCAGCAGGAGTGACTGACGTGAAAGTTGTGAAAGAATTACCTCACCTCAGGAATCACTCTGCATTATTTTGCACGTGGTTAGTCATGACTGCCTAGGAAAGACGCCCAGGGGAATTTCAAACCACAGTGGGCCCATGACGACATGGTAATGGGTAGAATGCAACTCCGGGTCAAAGTAGCCCACCTTAACCGGATCATGGGGGCCATCGGTGACAGAGCAAGGTTAATCTGGAGGAGGATCGAGCTTCTTATCAGTTAACTCGCCTTTCTCCCTGTCACATCGGGGGTCACAGGTGTTTCACAAGCACCTGGAGCCAGAAGCCTAGGTCAGGAAAGGTTTAGCATGCAGTCAACAAGCTATCAGGCCATGAGAGAGAACAGGGCTGTCAGCACGTACACACGGAGCCAAGGACTCTCCATTTTAGGTCCCCTTTGCCCAGCGCCATTGCTCGTGTCTGACTGAGGTCTCTGCAGCCTGTGTTCCTTCAGCTCAAGGCTTAGCTAGCAATTTGAGAGATTTCTCTAAACCCCTGGTCAGTGGCCTTTCCCCACTGATTTTCTGGTTTTCTGGGAAGGGATGGAACTCCAGAGTCCTCCACTCGGCCATATTTGCCGATGTCACTCAGTGATACTGGTTTTTGGGAGTTTCCGGGGAAATAAAGACACTTTATTTCATTTATTACTGTGTATTGAGAATCACTAATTTTACCATTTTCTGAATAATACTAGGACCCGGGCCACTGACCTCTGTTTGTTCATTCCTTTTTCTGCTTCATCTTACTTTGTGCACTTAAACTCAGGTGACATTACTTTTGTTGTGATGTGGGGTTCATACTCACTCATCTGTGCAAACACCTTCGCCCTTCCCCTTCATAGTTACCCTTTGTGTTCTGCTGCGTCCTGCAAACTCCATTTTCCTTGGGGTCGCTTCTGTACTGCGTGTGGAACTCTCTGTAGGACTTCTTATGGGACAGGTCCATTGGTGGGAATCTTTCACTTCACCTTCATTTTGCAGGACCTTCATCCTCACTGGGCATCGGAGTCTCAGCTGGTGGATTCATTTTCAGTAACTCATCTGTCACTTAATGAGTCCTGAGAAACGTGTCATCGGGTGACTTCATCAGTGTGTGACACACTCAGAAGGCATCATCCACTACACACTGCTGCTCCCGGCAGTTACTGCTCAGAACACACAGGCGACTGTGACGCAGTGGTGTTTATGGGTGTACACATGTCCAGACACAGACAGTGCACGGTATTAAAGATAAAAACATTTCACTGCCACAACGAGTGGATCGGATCCAGTCCACCAACGAATGGACTGGAAGTTGCTGTGGGCATCAGTGGGGCAGGACAGAGACAGCGAGAAGACCTCGGATGTCACCGTGCACTGAACGATGTGCTCAGGCTGCGTGAACTGCTTTTTTTTTTTTGTTGATCTTTCTTCAACAATAAATTAACTCTAGCTTACTACAACCCTTTACTTTATACATTTTAATCTGTTTGCCTTTTAAAATAATACTTACCTTTAAAGCACACACATTGTGCAGCTATTCGATGCATGTTCGTGCTGTACATATACACACGTTTACACACGTTTACATGTACATATATGTATGTAGGTATGTATCTAGCTCCTGACTCAGTCACCTCTTGTGTGGTGACAGTGCCCTCTGGTGGATCACCTCCTGCAGGACCTGCCTGAGGCAGCTTTAGGGTTTTTTTTTGTTTTTGCAGGGCTGAGGTTTAAACTCAGGTCCCACTCTTGCTAGGGACTTGCTCTGCAGTATTTGTATCACTCTGAAGAGAAGGTGAGAAGAATAGCACTGTATCTGCATGAACTGGTGGCATCGCTCACCACCTCTATCGAGTGTGCACGGCAGGTGGCTGGCAGCAGGCAGGTTTGTTTACACCCGATGGCCATGATGTCACACGTGACAACATCTTTCGTGAGGTTGTTCTATTGTCTTCTGGTTTTCACATTTCTGTCCAGAAGCCAGATGTCAGCATTATGGTTGTGTCTTTGAAGGTCATGGGTATTTCTGTGCTTGTTTTTAAGTTCTTCCTCTTGTCTTTTTTCAGCAGGTTTTACTAGGACGGACTTATATGGATTTTCTTTCTACTCTTCTTTGGACTTCACTGAGTTTCTTATTTAAATCTGAGAATTGGTACCTTTATAAACTTTGTTGTAATATGCTTTTAGCATTATTTCTTCACATATGAGAAAATACACAGACTTTTCACCAGAAGAGAAATTCAGACAGCAAAAGGCACATGAAAGGACGGTCAATGCCATCGGTCACTAGGAAAACACAAAGCAAGCCACAGTGAGACACTAACCACCATCCTACTAGAACGGTTCCAATCAAAGAGGCCAGTGTCCAGTATTGGGGAGGATACAGAGGACCTGGCTCATGTCTTGTGGCTGGCAGCCACTTAAGCAAAGTTTGACCTATTAGTCCACCTCAGGGCTAAGAGAAATGAGAACTCTGTCAAGCAGACTGAGCTACACGTGTCTACGGCAGCTGCACACATCTGTCCATGTGACGGAGTTGATTTGGGTTGGTGTGTGGCTGGGAAGGGATATGGCAGGGCAGAGTGGAGAAGGGATGTCACCCCTCCTGGTACACCTTCATACAACTGTGACTTTGGTAACCAATGAATAGAAATAAAAGAAAATTAACTTACTGCAGATGACGAGAGAGAGAGAGAGGAAACACAAAGAGAAAGAAATAAACCAAACTCTTTCTCCATGCATAACATAACAGGAGGAGAGGAAAACTAACTCCAGACTTGTCAATATACCACAGTGTTTGGACTCATCTATTCCCTCAGGCTAAAGGCAAAGAGTGTTCACAAACTTTGAATTCTACTCAGTGGGTTTCTTTTTTTTTCTGGAAGTATGGATTAGCCATATTAAAACTATCTCTGCGTGTTAGGACTGAGTTACTAAGAGAACTGAGTTGGATTTCTCTGTTGGATAAGCAAGGAGAAAAGGCAGAGGAGCGTGGTGGTGCTGGGTGGGATTTGAAGTTTGAGCCCTGGTTTTAGATGTATTGGTGAGTCTGCTTCTTCTCTCTTCTCGCTCTTAAATATATCAACTGTACTGTATTATATGTGAGTTTAATGTAGGGCAATGTCCACAAACATGGATTAGACACAAATTTCTTTCTCCTTTCTGTCTTTCTTCCTCCCACCACCATCGGGAGGACGTGCAGTGTTGGTGGTGAACTTGGCGCATTCAGCCCACAGATCGCAGGGTAAGCAAGGAGGGGTTCCTGTAGGACTAGGGGCAAGGACTGGACATTGAACAGACGTGTGGGCCCTGCAGCTGAATGTGTGAAGGTGGAAATGACCAGAAACAACTGGATTATTTCCTATAAAGGAAGAAAACTGTATTCCTGCCCTCTGGCATCCATCAGGAAGGACTTTCCTGGACTTTTGGCCTCCAGCTCCTTTCTCCTGGAGAGCTGGGTGTGTAATGCAACGTGCCTGGCTCCACTGCACCCTTGTTGCTTATTGGATTCATTGGCCCACTGAGCACACAGGCTCTCCTTGTGGTCTCAGGTCACCTCCTGCCTAACCTGTATCACCTGCAGGCACTTGGAGCAGGGCGTTAAGCTCCATGGGGTTGTGAAACCCAACTGCCTGGTTTACTGCTGAGCTCCAGGGCTCATTTGGGGCTTGGTGGGAGATGCTACTTCACAAATATGAGTTGGATTTTTAATTGATGTGAATGCTGTGTCACATCGTGGTGACACCTGTCCTTTTGTGGGACACTCCGGGCCTGGGTCTCACAGGAACATGGACAAGCAGTTTCTGAATCCTGGATTCCACCTAGCACACTACACACTTGATTGCCAAGGAGAGCAAAAGCGTCACCTCATTGCTGACACTTCTGTCAACCAGGAGTCCCCTTCCAATGGACAGCTCTCCCCACTTTGCAGGGGCACTGGGGATGCTGGGGGCCATTTGTCCTCTACAGGGTGTTGAGCAGTGTCCCTGGCTCCATCCACAAGATTCCAGGATAACCTGTGGCCCCAGTTGTGACACCCCAAGAGGTCTCCCGACGATGCCAATGTCCCCCGGGGTTGGATTACTTTCATCTCAGGACTCCTGCTTAGGGACTTTCTACCCCAAATGGGCTTTCTGTTGCAGTTATGAACACCAGAGCCGTGCTCCTGTGCCCTGGAACTTTGCTTGTACCAGGGATGGTGGGTGGGTTCCGATCCGCAGCAAATCACATCCCCCATCAGAAAACATTTCCCCTAGTTTCCCAGTGACAGGTGCAGGGCATCCCAGCCCCAAGAAAACCATTGCCCCTTCCCTTCCACCCATCAGAGCCTTCTCCCAGCCTCCAGGATAAGGTGGGCTCTCCCCTACCCCCTTGCAGGACTGTCTTGCCCGTGTGTGCCAGCTGTGGCCACAGCTGCTCAGCCCCTCTGTACCAAAGGAGCAGGAAGTGACTTCTTGGTCAGCCTGCTCTGGACATTGGAGCAGGAGGCAAGGGACACGGACAGCTCTTGCACAAAGGGCAAAGTGGCCTGAAGGAAGAATCTTTGAGCTGGAAGGCCACCTTGTTTGGGCAACAGCTAGGAGGGGCGGGGTGGGAGGCGGGCAAGATGCTGGTCCACATTAACCTGGGTGCATGGCCGGACTGCCCTGCAGCTTCTTGCCTGCCGTCTGGCTGTCCAGAGAGGACATGAGAAGAGGTGGGTCAGGATGGGTGCTGGGTGGCAGGCCTGGGAAGGGGACCTCAGGACGGGTGCAGTCACAGGCTCTGGGTGGGAGTTAGGGATCAGGATGGGGAGGACAAGTGGGAGTTAGTGGGAGGAGGCAGACAAGCCTCATCTGCCTTTGGGTAGCCGTTCAGAGGATGGACTTGGACATGTGCTAGTTCCAGGATGGTGGGAGTCGGCCTGCTCCAACTCCTGGGGTTTGTCTGTGCACCTCTAGAATGGACAGCTCCCACACCATGAAGACCTCTGTGCTCATCCTGCTCATGGCCCTACTGTGTGCGGAGAGAGGTGAGATGGGAGGGGCCCTAGGAGAGGGTTCCAGGTAAACCTGCATTCCCCGTATGTGCCCTGCACCGTGGACAGCTCCACAGTGGAGGATGAATGGCCCCCAGCGTCCCGAGCGCCATCTAAGGTGGGAGCGCACTGTGGGAAGGTCCTGGTGGGATCATATGCATGCTGGAGTGCCCTTGCCACGTGTGCCCTATGCTCCTGTCTGCTGGCACTCCGTGTGCTGGCAAGTGTGGGTTTGGCATGGGTGCATCATCAATGCTGGTTGAGTTTAAGGGTTCTGGGCCACAGTGCCGTGAGGTCCTGTGGCGTGGTGTGCTGGGCCCACGTCTGGGTGGGTTTGCTGAGCTGGTATGTGGGTACAGGTGTGCTGTGGATGGGTGTGGGCAGCACTGGCCAGGACTGTTGGCTGTGGGGCAAGGCAACCCCAGAGACTTCACGGCTTCCCTCAGCCTCCAGCCTCCCCTGCCCCCTCCACATGGCTCATAGCCTCTCCTCTGCATCTTTGCACCCACTCCAGCCCCTCTGCCATTTCTTTTCTCTGTGGGATCCACATGTACACAGGGAACTCCTTTCCCTTACAACCTGACCATGAGACAGACCTCCCTCAGGGGTCTCGGTCCAACTCAGACTCCACGCCCAGGCCTCCAGTTTCTCCCACTCAGGGCCAGTGGGATGTGGTCTCCATCCATAAGCACACGGGACTGGCAGAGACTTCTGTTCCTGCCCTGGCTGCCTAGCCCTGCAGCATGGTGACCCCCAACTCGCTGGCACACATTACACCTAACCTTGGCTTGCCCCAGCCACCTGAGGACAAAATGGGGGAAACACCCCATGCTGTGCAGTGTCCTGAACCTCAGTGACATTTGAACCACCCACTTTCAGCTCCATCTCGACGGCGGGGTGGTTACATGGCAAGGCCTGGATTTTGCAGCTGGCCCTTAGGGTCTGGGGAACCAGGCTGGAGTGGAGTCCTGCTAACAGATGAAGGCCAGACAGGGAAGGAGAGAGAAAGCCTGCTGGTCTGGATCCATAGGGCCAGCTCCATAGTAGCTGCAGGGGTCACCATCCCAGTAGCCCACTCACTCCTGGTCCATCCAATCACACACCACGCTGATGGGTACACTGAGTAACCTCTCAGGAGTTCAGCCTCCGCCTCTGGGACTGGGTGGTTGAGATGGACAGGGCTGGGCACATTTGGAAAGTATGGCCCCTGCACAGCCCCTGGGTATAGGCATTTGGACAGAAGTGGCTCTGCTCTGTCCTCCTGGTCCCTGCAGGATGAGGGAATGGGGGCAGCTACAGGGGACGGGTCTGGCCACCCTGTGCCAGGAAGGGAGGGTGTCTGCCCTCGCCCCATGGCCTTCACCTCTCCCCAGCTCAGGGTCTGCGCTGCTACAAGTGCTTTGGATCTTTACGTGGGAAGTCCTGCCAGCCCACCACGTGCTCCTCCCCCAACTCAGTCTGTGTCACCCAGGTGCTGGAGACCATTGTGTGTGAGTTCCAGAGACTGGTGCCGGAGGGAGAGGAGGGAGGTCTCAGGGAGGGCCACTTGGAGGAATAGCTGCGCTGTAGCCCAAGGTCCCTCCTTCTACCCCTGAGCACTCTGGGATCAGGGGTGGGGCATCCTGGGGCAGGTTAGTGTGGGGTTCCCCAGGGGAGGAACGGGGTGTGTGCAAAGCAGAGGGAACGGGCAGGGGCTGGGCTCCAGCACTGGCTGAGGGTTGTGGGCTGGCAGGGACAGGGGCCACACTAGGTTTTAGAGCAGAGCTGCCACTGTGGCCTGCATGGCTGTGGAAATCCTTGTCCTCTCCCCAGCACCCACCAGCAGGGGGCTCTGACTCACTTACTGGTAGTGTTGCAATCTCACCCATTGCAGCCACCTCGTGCTCTTGTCCCCTTGTCCTCACTGCACGTCAAAGATCTCACGTGCTCCATGAAGAAGAGGGTGGGTCTTGAGCATTTAGTGAGTTACTGCATCTGATGATGAGAACGGGGCCTCAAGCCGAAGGAATGACTGGGGAATGGTGACGTATCAGAGGAGACCCCAGGACACACACAGCCCTGAAAATCGTTTTTCTGTGCACACCTGCCCCTCAGCTCCCTCTCCAGCCTGCCCATCTCCCACACCTGGGCAGGCTGCATAGAGAAAGAGCTGGAGCCCCGGGGGTCTGCTGCCCTGCTGCGCCACTGGGCAGCCTCCTTGTGCCTCTAGCTGTCTGGCCCTGGGTGCCAAGCTGTCTCTGCTCTGCGTCCTGAGCTCATCCACCCCCTTCCTTTGCAGTGTCTAAGAAAGTGAAACTGAGGAACAAGTTCTGCCTTCCCTTCTGCCCAGAGAAGTATACCTCCATTAAGAATATGCCCGTCATGGGCACCATCCTCAACACCCAGACCTCCTGTTGCACAGACGACCTCTGCAATGGAGACAGTGGAGGCAATGGAGACCGTGGAGGCAACGGAGACCGTGGAGGCTATGGAGACCGTGGAGGCCATGGAGACCGCGGAGGCAACGGAGACATGCTTGTGGATGGCAGCTCCCGGACCCTGGCAGGGGGTCTCCTGCTGGGTCTGGGCCTGGGAATCCTCTGGACCCTGACTTGATGACCTTTCCTGCCCCATCCCCTCGCCTCTTCTGACCCAGCCTGTAACTGCTGGGTTCTACAGAGGTTTTCAGCCCTAGGGTTGGGGAAGGGTGTGGGCCCTGTAGGTTTGGGGCTTCTTTGTCTGGACAGATAGGATCTCTACCTGGACTTGCCCTTTACTCTGGGCAGGTTTCTTAAACCCACACTCCCTGGGAGGCCAATTTCCTGGGAGTTCTGGCCTCAGTGTGTTTATGGATTTTAGGCCAAATTCCTGGGGTTCACATGTCAGGTCCTGCCACTTGCCTCCAAGTGCCATAAGGAGACAGTAATGGTGACGGAGAGAGAAAGGAGGTTTGTCACATTGCACAGTGTGTCACAGCAAGAGGGCACTGCAGCCCATCTTCAGCCATCCTCTGGAGCAGGCATTTGCTTTAGGTTTAAATGGGAGGAAGAATTGGGGGCAGGGAGAGGGTCTGCATAAAAATAGTCGTAGTCACAGGTGGCTCCCTGGTCAGAAATGGGGGCAGGTGGTCTGGCAGCTGATTGTCTCAGGAGGGGTCATTGCTGCCTAGAAGGTGGACTGTCTTACAGAAACACTGCTCTTTTTTTGGGGACGGGGTGGGTGAGGGGCAGTTTCCTTCATTTCTTGTAAAGATGTTATCAATCAGTCCTGTCCTTCCTGAATTCCAAGGTGGCTGCAGGAAAGAATGGCTCAGAACACAGACACAAAATGGAGGCAGAGATATCGAGCTTTCATCCTACTTTCAGTTAATTTGTGTGCCCAAGCAAGGAGTCAGTGCTCCTCAGCAAAAGCAGCTTTTATGGACCTGTTACAAGCTGGGGGCGTGGGGTTGCTGTTCCTTGCTGTTCTGGAGTAAGAAGCTCCATCCTATGCAACACCTCTCATCGCTCAGAACCACCACCTTCGAGCATGATTGGCCTCAGGCCTCTGGCCCTGCAGGCCTCCCACACATGCCAGGCCACCCTCCCTCTGCTGTCAATAAACCCTCTTCTCACCCAGCACCAGGACTCAGCTTTTCTTTTGCTGGTGTGAGTACCACTGACCCATCCACACGTCCTTTCGCTGTGCTCTGAGGTCTCAGCGATATTCTGGCCAGTGCCCTGGCCCGGGGCAGTGTTCCTGGGGTATCCGTGTCCATTCAGGGACTGGGACCCACCCAATCCCTGGTCCTCCACTACTTTGGCAGACTCTTGCTAAGTTGCTACAGGAGACAGTCAAGTAGGAGCACCATTGAGTCACTGGGATGCCACCAAGAGGCAGGGCTGCCATTCACCCACACCTGCCATGTGTACCCTCTTACCCCTACTGGCTGGGCTCCGGTGTCTCCAGCAGAATGAGGTGTCCCTTAGTTTTGGGAGGGAGGGCTTCCCTTGGGATAGATGTCTGGGGCAGACAAGAGCACCTAACTGTGCTGGGGAGGTGAACCAGGTGGAGCCAAGATGGGAAGGGGGTCAGCCCAGGAGGTGCACCCACAATGGTGGGCACACCCTGCCCTTCCAGCCCATAAAGTCCCAGGAGTGAGAGCCACTTACCACAGGGGCTCAGACAAGCAGCCACAGCTGTGCCCTGCTACCCTGAGTTACTGTCACGTCCTGGCTTCCCATATTGGCCAGCCTGTACCAGGCCATCATCAGGGAGGCTCACTTCCCTCTGCTTTGACACAGTGAGACAGCCGAAGTCCAGCCATTGCTGTCCTGGACTTGATATGTCAATCAGGAGATTTATCCATATAAATAACAAGCATAAACACTTAGTGTGTGTCTCAAATGTTAGAAAAAATAATTACTTGTGCTGGGTGCTGGCTGGTGGCTCATGCCTGTAATCCTAGTTACTCGTGAGGATTGAGGGTCAAAGCCAGCCTGAGCAAATAGGCCTCCAGACCTTAGCGGGAAAATACCCAACACAAAAAAGGCTGGTGGAGTGGCTCAAGTGCCTGCCTAATAATCACTTATTATCTGAGATTCAACTTTCATTGGGTATCTTGATTTTTGCATGCTAGATCTGTAAGATGGGTCAACTGCCCCTACAGACAACCCCAGACCCTGTGGTTAAGCCCACAGCAGCCCCATGGAATGTGGGATGGAGGGAGGAGCTGGCACCCTGGAAACTAGGGTGCTATGATTGTCTTGTGTCCCATGTGTCCTTGGTAGCTGGCAGCGCTCTTCACCCTCCGGGGGGTAAGAGCTCTGCTTCTTACCCATGGCTCCAAATCCCTAGGGTAGAGCCAGCCACCCCACCAGCCTCTTCCCATCTTCAGGTAGGACTCCAGCCTGAGCTTCAGGACAAGCAAGGATCCCAGAATGTGGCGTGATGTTGGGGGCGGGAGTGTAGGAGCTTGAGTCAAGAGAAGGGTTTCTGGAACCTTGTTCCCCACAGGGCCACCTTCTATAGCAGTCTCTTCTGGCTCTGGGAAACTGACATTGAGAGGCAGGAGCCCCCACCCCACATTCTGTCCCCACTGGCCTGTTCTCTGAGAGCCCCCGAGAGCTGCCACGGGGACCTTTGGGAACGTGTCATCTGCCGTTTGTGGGGTATGTCCTACTGGCTGTCCAGGGAGCAGAGCCCACAGGGGTGCTCCAGTGCTATGGGAACACCTCTCTCTGTCTCTGTCCACTTCTGGGGAGATTGAGAGGAGCTGACCATGCCCACTGATGTGACCTAAGGCCTGGGATGGACTGTTTTGCTTCTGTTGGGACTGGGGTTTGAACTCAGGTCTTCGTGCTTGCAAAGCTGGCACTCTACCACTTGAGCCATACTTCCAGTTCGTTGTGCTCTGGTTATTTTGGAGATTGTTCTTGAGAACTATTTACCCAGGCTGGCCTCAAACTGCAGTCTTGATCTCAGCTTCCAAGTAGCTAGAATGCTAGGAATACAGGCGCGAGCAAAGGGACCCAGCTCTTATTCTACTTTCTCTCTTTCCTTCCTTTTCTCTTTCTTGCTGGTACTGGGATTTGAACTCTGGTCTTTACACTTTCTAGACAGGTGCCCTCCATAACTTCCTGTGGGAAATCCTTCATTCATTCATGAGGAACCTTTTATTTTTTTAATATTTAAAAGTAAATGTGTACCATTCCTTCTACACGTGCATTAGTGTAGCCCATGAATTTTGAACTTTATTAGTATGTTTCTTATCATTGAGTCCCTCATGTTTTCTGGTTTCCATTTTGATTTCTTCCTTCCCTTCATCTGTGGCTCATGAGTTATTTATAAATACATTTCTTCATTGCTAATCACAGGAGAGGGGCATGACAGACAGACAGATAACAGATAAGGCGACTGGGAGATTTAAAAAATTATATATATATATATATCACAAATTAAGCCAGGTTCAGGAATTAAAACAGAACTAGGAATTAAGGCTGAAAATCATTTAGAGCAGTAGGCCTGTCTCCACCCCTCTGTTCTTTTAGATGTTAAGTAAGTTGTAATCTCTTGAATGGGTCAGGGATGGAAAATAAAAGGGCATGTCTGATGAGTGGGTCTCAGCCAGAAAGTGGGCCCTAAATGTTCACCCACTGTCTCTATAACAGGTGCACCCTAAGCCCCATCTTCATGTCTTCTTATTACTTCGTGAGTAATACTAAGACCTGTCCAGACCCATTTCTCCATGTTCAAGTGATAGCAAAACAGAAACTTAACAAAATAATCAATGTTGCTAGGTGACTACACACCTAGAAGGACTGCCCAGCTCCAGGATATATATATATATACACATACCTGAAACAAAGACTGCCATGTTTGAGCTACGTGACTCCCACCTGCCAGGTGTCAGGCAGGAGGTACTCCTCTTTCCCTTTTCTATTTCTCCCCACTTTATCCTGTTTTGCTAAACTGCCACTTTCTGAGTTTCCTTCTTCCTTTTTTTGGTTTTGTTGTGAAACCTCTTGAAACACTTTTCATTATGGATTTTGAATTCCTGTGATTTGTGTGGAAATTGGAAACCAGTGGAGGGTCCCCCTCATCTCTTATGGGGTGTCCTCATCCCTTTCCTTCCTCTAGGGACATATTTTGTGTTTTTGTTAAGAATTTCTATTATAACTGGACTGTGACTGGAGAAGTTGCTCTATGGTTTCAGTTATTTGAACGTTGTGGAGACTCAATGGCTGATTATGTGCTTATTTTCTGTGTGTGTGTGTCCTGCACCAGCTGGGCTCTGCTCTCTGTGTCCACTGCCTTTCTGGTGCTCCTCTCGGTCCATCTCTTCCCCCATGTTGATTTTAGCTGCTTGTTCTGGGATTTATCCACAGGACATGTTGTAAGGCCTCAGTTGAAGTGTGAAAAGTTCTCTTTTTAGTCCTGTCAATTTTATCTATTTCTGACTACTTAATGCATGGTACAAATTCAGAATTTTACACCTTGTATTTTTATTAAGTCTTTCTGTAGCTGTTGATGATGCTTCATGTCTTAAATTTTCTCATCTGCTAGAAATGTGTAAGATTTGTTTTATTTAGAGATTTTGTGGCTTCTCCTTATTTCACTTCCTCTTTTATACAGACTTGTGATTTAGGGGTGACTGTGTGAACTGCATATATTGAGAGGCAGAAATATTTTTAAAAGAAAGGTTTTTAGTCTTGCGGACTGTGCGTTAGAGGGCTGTGAACTCAATCGAGTGGGAGACACAGCCAACAAACGATCACATAAAACAGAAGGGAAAGCATCAGAGTTTGTCACACAAGCGAGTGTGACTGTTGCTTTGTGAAACTCTTGCCTCAGATATACACAGACAGACACACCTTTCTGGTGGGCAAGTGTTTTAGTCACCACTGAATACATTTCCTAGTGAGAGTTAGAGTGAAAACATTCAGCAACATCTGCTTCAATGCCCCATCATCCAGCCCCAAAATGACAAAAGTCCATCTCAGGCAGTCAGGGAATGGCACAGGCCCTGGGGACAGCCACATGCCAATTGTGGGTCAGTCAACCCCACTATGTCTGGCTGTCACTAGCTCAGCAACAGTCAGGTCTCTGCAGGCCTGAGTCACCACTGGGCAGGGGTC